AGATGGTGAGATAACTGCATTAAGAACACAGAGCTCCAGAACTTCAGAAAATACAAATGGATTGACTTTAAGCACTGGAACTGTTTGAGCAGTGATTACATGACTGATACAAAACCAGCTAAAAATAAGGAACATCACAGGTCAGACTACTCAGGTTTGCTTTCAAGATGCACACAACAGGTACAAGGTTGTATTTGTGGAGATGAAACTATACCACAGACTTTCTTTCCACAAAGCCAAGTTGATTATACATATAGATGCATTTAAAAATGAAATATGTTTGGGGTTCAAACACCAGCTTCCTTCTCACTTTAGAACAGATACAAGGGAGATGCACTGAACAGCACTCCAAGCTGCCTCCCTCTACACCAACATCAGCACATCAAAGACACAAAAGCAGCTTGCAACATGAGAGTTTTTTTTTTTTGTAAACTAGACCCTAAGTTCTCTCCATCAAGGATGGTTCCTCTGTTTCTCTTCTCATAACAAAGAAATCTTGGAAAGCTTTTGAGCTCTTTCAAGAGAAGTGCATGATGTGTCAGTCTAAGCATGTAAACACTGAAATCAAGAAACTGCAGTAAGTTTCCCCAAAGAGTGATAAAAAGGAAGAAAAGAGGGAAGGACAGGGTGGGAGGGAGGATGCAAAGTCTGATGGTAACAACCACTGAGAGGCCACATTCACTGAAGAGTTAAGATTTAGTGCCCTCTGTTTTACACCAGTGTGGGTGAAAATCACTTTTAAGGGCCCTAATGAAAGTTGAAAGTTACCTTCAGAAAGTTATGCATATTTCAACAGAAATAAAAATCATTATGCATTCTCTCTAAAGAGGATACAATCTCAAACTGTCAAAATTCTAAACTCTTCTACATATATTACATACAAATGCCTTCTATAAAGAAACCTCTTTTCATTTTTCTTCTAAATTAGCTTAGTGGTCCATGGTATTACACTACCTTGGTCTAGCCTGTGAATAATGTGACAGGTAATTTTTATACTTCTTGCCTGTACTTAAGTTTGAGTGAAGATACGGAAAACAACTTTTATGATCTAGGTGTAAAAGTAAATGTTCTGTGAGTCCTGCATACCCAAACGTGGACATCTACTATGAAATGTTTCATGATGATTATGTGTCCATCAATAAATATAAAATAAGATGAAGGAAAAAAAAAAGCAAGTTAGTAAGTTGTTGGTTATTTTTTAATAATGTGCATGTGCAGCAGTTTTTTTTTCCCCAAAGTAATAATACTAATGTTGATGTAAACTACCACATTATCACAGAGGGGATTTAAGATTCTGTTTTATCAGACAGAAATCATTCTGTAACAGGATGCACTGAGAAGGATGAGTAATATGCAGATAACATGGAAGATCATCCAACTATAATTTAAAAAAATGGATTCCTCATGAAACTGTTGACTGCAATGACACAGAAATGGATGGTAACAGTCAATTAATTTCCATCTTGAAAAAACTCAAAATACACCTGTATCAGCTGAAGTCTGTAAATGATGGAACTCAAAACACTGAACAGTTCAATGATGTTTGACTTACAATGCTGGAGAAAAAGTCAAATCTCTGACTGAAAAAAAATGGAAAACCCAGTTTATATGTTCTCTACTATTAGGCAGCCACAGCAAGGCTCTTCTTCTCAGTCTCTGCGATTATTTGTGCTCCAGGACGTCAGCAGCTATGCTATTAACTGTGCTAGGAAAGAAGTAATCAGAATAAATTAACCTGTAACTAGGGGCTTGGACCTTTTCCCTTCAGGGAAGAAGCCCAGTACTACCCAAACACAGACCTTTTAAAAACTACTTTACCCTGTCCCCTTTCATGAAATAAAAAAGGCCATCAGAATGTTGAGTCTAGCAGAGAAAACTGCACTTTAAGGTGCTCCATCAAGAGGAAAACTAAACATGGAAAATTACAAAGATGATGCTCATACAAAAAGAAAAACAATGCAAATCTTAAGGAACTAAGGGAGAGAAGTATGAGAAACAAGGTGAGCTCTAAGTGATAGGGCAGGCACACAATCCATGTACATCCATTCAAAAATGAGAACCATCATGAATCCAAACAGAAACTGAGTGCACATCCCTGAGGTCACACACCACCATATCCAGTGTTTCCAGAGTTATTCATAATGTACAATCAGGTAACCAAGAGCTGAGCTTCAGTCATGTGAGTAAGATTATTTTGTTTACAAAGTTAAAATACCACAGGAGAGGAATTTATATCTAAGACACCAAGCAGAGTTGTGATGACCATGTCTGTTTGTCTGTTACATGCATATATTTTCTCATTATGGAGGACATGTGTGTTATGCCTGTTACACCATTTTTGGGTGTGAAAATAAACGAAACTAATATTTTCAAGAGCACAGAAATAGTCCACACATAGGGAAAGAAAATCAGAATGCACTCATCTGTGCCATGTAATTATTTCTGACATACCAATGCTCATACAATGAAGTAATTTGACTGATATCCAGCTTTTATGCAGCACAGAGAGTGGCTAACACAAGTCTTTGATTTAACAGCTCTCTTAGTTTATGTTACTCTTCCTTGTTGCTGTAAAGGCAACTGAATATGTTTCTGACACTGTTCTCTGCTGAGGTGAGGACTAATAGACTAATCATGGCTTTCAGGAGCAAAGAAACTCTGATTTGAAATCAACACTTAGGTCTCTCTCTGGAGACTCTGCACAGTCACCTGGATGCACACTAATCATTCTCTTGAATACCATAACTCATACTGAAAGCAAAATAATCAGCAGTATTAGGAAAACCTGATCAGCTTGTCTCCTAACATATTACTAATCAGAATGTAATGTGACCCTCATGCGATGGAAAACCCAGCACAGTGGAGGAAAGGAGGTGAGGAAAGCTTTCTTCAGCAACTGCAAGAGAATCCTTGGAAATTGGGGCAATATTATGATTTTTTCCACTTGAGAAATTCTTCCAAGTTTACTTACTTTGAGACTAAAAATGCTGCATATTTTCTGCTGGTGAATAAATGAGCCGCATTTCACCCAGTGCACTTTTACAGCAGTGGCTGAGTTCTCAGAATGCACTTTAGTGGCTCACAGACCCACCACGGGCATTTGCCAGGCAGATTTAACCTCCCCGAGGCTGTGGTTCACTGTATTACGTAATTCCAAGCCAGACAGTTTTACTTACTCTTCTGGCCTGAATGTTTCCTCTTACAACTTTTATTTCCTTGTATTTACTCCTCAGGTTCCTGTCAATGGAAGGTTTTTATAACCTTCTCTCTGCGGACTGGCATCGCTCCGACTGGGGAAGAAATGCATTTCTAAAGCTGACCTGGAGCTGCTGCTCTGGAGGAAGAATCCAAGCACAGGTCTTGGGCTTTTTAACTCCAAACCAGTATTTTCCAGCTGTGGAACAGCATCAGTTTTACCTGACACTGCACGCTGGCTGACAGGTGGGTAAAATAAACAAGTGATGTATATTCCAAAGGAAGAGTGATTCCTGAGTAGGTCACAGCAGCGAGAGAGACAGAAGAGGAAACCAACCTCACAAAATGATGACCCACAAAAGCACATCAGAACAGTCAATTTCTGAACCTGTTTGCCCAAATCTTGTTTTGCAACGAAGCTGACAAAGCTGAGGCATAGTTAAAAAAGCTGGATGGAAACAAACAAGCAAAAATCCCTCCCTGCAAACCAACAGATTTTTATCAGTCCCTAACCTGCCTAACAGAAATTCTTACAATGTTTATTAATATGGCTGTCAACACAGAATAATTTATCTGCCTTATAGTATCTGTCAATAAACAGAATCCACAATAAACAATGGCAATAAACAGTAAAGGATAAACAGATTGCTTGTTTGATAGAACATAGGAGACACAATGAGCTTATCTTCTGGAGGACTGTTAACAACCTGTACAATAAATAACAAAGATATAGCAAATAATCCAAATTTAATCATTCTGTGTGACTTCACTTTTAGGGAAAAATTCCATCCTCTTGCCAAGAGAAATTTACACATTGTGCCAAGCAGATTTATTTCTCACATAAAACAGACCTCATGGGGTCAAGGTCTCCTACAGTCTGTGAAGTGCAGTATGTCTACTTCAAGACTGCAGATTACACTTACCAAGTTTATTTCTAGGAAATGAATTTTCAAGAAGGACAAAAGCTGAATTTTTAACAAAGAACCAAATGTAGAGTGTCATGTTTAAGCAAATATAGAAATATTGTCATTTATGATTTTAATTACATTGATGAGTCATTCTGAGAGACAAAAATGCACATTTACAAGGTTAACTGAACATGAAGAATAACTTTGGATTAAAGTAGACAATAGCCAAGGGAACCTTCAATGTTCATATTGTAAATGTTGCTGGGAAATACTCACTATTTTGATATACCAAATTGTGCAGATTCTTTCTTGTGGTGTGTAGATTGTATATACCCAGATCTTGAATGAAAACTATGTGGAAGGTCCAGAGGAATTTTTTGTTGTCACTTAGCAGCTATTCCACATAGGCCTTCCTTCCACCTGCCTTGCAGAAGATGATGGACTGAAAAGAGCCAAGGTGTCTGGAAGACTCCAATCAAGCATACAGATCCTTACCACCAATGCTTATCCTAGAGAATCTTATTTTTCTCATGGTATGAAAATGGATATAGAGTGAATTTTGAAAATTGTCACATCCTACTGTGCAGTAAAAAAATACACATCAATACCTGATTCCTCTAAGTTGAAAACAGTCTCAAAAGTTGGGTTAGATAACATGTAGCCTATAAAACTATCAGCAATACTAAAATTTTTAACACAACATCCTTCAATGTATATCTGTTTCTTTGAATACCATATCCCTACAAAAACACACTTTGAAGCTCTATGGTAATCCTGTGAAGACCTAAAAAAACACACTTAGAGGAGATAAATTTCTACTACAACACAATATAACCTGAGAAAACATAATTCTGTCTTCCTGCTATTTTCATTTTTTCCATTTTTAGTCATAGCTACCTCTGATGCTCTGATGTCCTCATAGGAAAACTGGGTGGCAGGTACTCCGAGGTGGTTGATGAAATAATCTGCATCTCCCTGAATCTGCACAGAACTCACATTGGATCCTGGACATCTTGCCTTTTCCACACAGTTGAAGCTCTGGCTCTGAAAAAAAACGAACACAAATCAAAGCCCTACTTAAATATTTGCACTCAGGCTCTTGAAGACTTGTAGCAATATCTCATTTAAACAGCATTCTTTGGGTTGAAACAACTTTAACATGGCAGAGAGTGAAGTTTGGCTGCAACACGGCTGAGCCTTTCAGAGGACAAAGAAATTCTTATCTGAGGTGGCAGGAGAGGCAAGAGAAGAATTAAGGCACTTGGAAGGCCTCATGCTGGCCAGAAGATTAGAAGGCATCGTGGTGCCTTTTGGAAGATTTTGAGATCTTCAATGGCTCCTAAGGAATCAGTTTTTTATTCAGTTAATAGCATGCTCTGCCACAACAAAAAGCTGAATGGGATTATCATAGTCAATCTAAGATATGTCTGTGAAATGCTGGCAATCTGAAGAATTTCCCCAAAGTAGGGCTTAAGAGAAAAACAGAATTAAAAGGCTAAAGATACCCAATACACATTTTCTTTGTAAACAATACAATTTTTCTGTGTAGGTTTCTTAAAACAATTCTAGTCAGGGAAATCTTTGCATTTCTTTCACGTAAGTATTTAATGGTGAAATCTTATCAACAGAACTATAATAAATATGGAAACTGGAAATCAAGCCCAGACTGAGTACCATATAATTGTGTAGCTTTTAAATCTACCAGGTAATTAAACACTTAATAAACAGTAGGCATAAAGGCTTTCAACATCTATTACAGCAAATAAGCTACTCAGGTTTCTTTTCAAGAATATTACGAAGTTGAAGTACTGGAGATTGTTTGCATTTAGCTAACAGTTTATAGAGTATAACATAACTTCCTCACCTCTACCAACAAAATTACAGGCTTTCTAGAAGAATAGCCTAAAATTGGTTCCGCTTTAACACAAAAATACAGCAAATTCTGTATATTAAAGTCTCCAAGGTTATCAGGAAAATGTTAGACAGAGACAAATCTCTGTATTTCCCCATTTCAAAATTAGCATAATTATTGCTTCACAGTTTCATTTCAGTGCTGTGAATAATGCAATTGCATATTACACAGTTTAAATAAAGGCTGCAGAGTCTCGTAGAAAATTATTTTAAAATACATTCAAGAAATAGCTTCCATTTCATAAGTAATTTTGAAAGGTGGTTGTATTACTCCTTTTTTTAATCTGTTAAGCATTTCTGCTCCTGCCATTCTTGCATACATTCACAGTAGTTCAAGGCCTGTCCAAAAAGTTCTAACAGAAATGGCAAATACCCAAACATTCATTGGAAAAGTTGTTTTAATAATCACAACTGTATCTCCTACAGTCTCTCAAACCCACTGCACAGCACACATCCAGGCAAAAAGCCATGGTTATGATTTTGTGCACATATCTGTGTACAAGATCCATTGCTCCTTCCAGGAATTACAAGGCATTTAAGGATCACCCAGTTTTCTACACTGCAGCATAGATCAAACTCTCCTCACTTCACACTGCCCACCACAGCTGGTCAAGATTCCTAAGTGATGAGTAGCCTGTTCTTCCTTTAATGTTTAAAGCTCACTGAATGATGTGAAATTGTGAAATACAGCTTTTGACACTTCATTCTGAATATCCACCAACCCCCACTTCTACCAGCCTACCAAGATCTGAAGAGATGCCTTCCTACAACAACCATGAAATTTAGTTTTTCTTATGCATGAAAGTTTATATATGAAATGTTTACAGCTTTGGTTAAGGGGACCATAAAATATGGTGGTTTGGGGGTTTTTATCACCATCCTTGACAGTATAGGATTAATATTTTTATGACAGCAATGTTCAATTCAATAGTACAGCATTTTAAGAGTTTAACTGCTTTATTCCACTTGCACTGTTCTCACACACAAGCCCAACAATAAATATTTAACCCAGCACCAATATAAGAGAATGCTTTACATGCAAGATGCTGTGCTCTTCCAATCTGTTTTTATTGTAATGCAGACTCTACAACACCAGCATTCTTCAACTCCTTGGCAACAACTGCAAAGCTCATATAGTGTGCTTTGCATTCATTAAAAAAATGAAATGTTTCCCCAGACTAATAGACTTAAAGAATAATAATGCTCTAATATTATTAAATCTAATAAAATAATTTTTAAAAAATCTTTAAAAACATATCTAGAATAAACTATTAGCAACACACAACTAACTGCCATTTGAAGAGCAGCCAAACTGTATTTCTTCAGCTGGTTAGCCTTACAAGAAAAACACAGACTGGCTGTATTTAGAGCACTCAGCTGCTCAGGCTGGGCTCCACCATGTCAGTCAAACCCTTCCTTCAGACTGGAGGCAAACCAAGCCCCTGGTGAGCCAGGAATTAAGGAGTGCTTGGTGTCAGTGCAAAGATTCACATGCTATATGTAATTGAATAATTTATTTCTCTGGAGCTCATTTTGGGTGTCAGCACCCCCTTACAGGTTTATGTTACAAATTTGAGAAAATGAAGAGTACCATATGGCAAATCAAATACATTTGAGTTAGTGTCCTAAAACAAATCTGACACATCTGAAGTATAATCAAATGGGACTTCATTGCAGAACTCATTACTTAGTTCTGGTTACTACTTTTCTTTACTTGACTCCAGCTTCACTTAAAACATTACCACCTTTTGAAAACGGATTAAAACATCTAAGGAGCTTTCAACAGGGCCAGTAAAGAATGAACAGTTATTCTTACAGTATGTCAGTGCTCCCAGCTTCAGAACTACAACAAGGAAGCTTATTCTTCATGAATAATTGATCTCTATTTCTGAGCTGAATCAGTACCTGTGTCAGGGACTGGTGCAATTAATGACCTGAGATATGAGAGACCGTCTAGAGCAAGTAAAATTGTCTAAAGGAAGAGCTACAGAATTTATTTAATTCATCACAGACCTTGTAAAAATGCAGAAATCAAGAGATTAACATATTTATTACTGTAAATATGTAAATCAACACCAACAGGTAATAAAGGCGAGAGAAAGGACTCTCAGGTCTGCGTCTCTCATCTAAAAACACCTGCCACACTCTAGCAAACAGATCATTAGAGGCAGAAGGTGTGATGGTTCTTAAAAAATATTAATAGATGACTGCCAAAGGCTATTAAAAAAACCATGGAGCTTCTAGGAATTGCATCAATCCTATGGCAAGCCTACTTCTGTTTTCTCCCAGCTGCCTATCAGGTTTGGCTACAAACACCCTGTTCTGCTCTGTCTTTATTGATTGATTATACATATTGCTATTGATGCAAATCAGCTCTTTCAGAAATGATTCAGGAGATTTAATATGGCATTTTGCCCTATATACCTCAAAGTGTTTTTCAAACCAACTAAAGGCAAGCAAGGTATCCAACATTTCTGTTTTGCCCAGTATCATAGAGCAAAACAACTACATAATAATTAAATGCACAGCATTTCCCCAATTTTGAGCCTTATCAAACTGACATGATTCAAGTATGTGCATAAAAATAATTCTAAATTATATTCATTCATTCATTCATTCTTTCTCTGTGTAGGAAAAGAAAAGCTAAATGTGGTGGTGATAATTAATATGCTATAGATGGAGAGTAGTTGTGGTTTAAATAGCCTGAATGTTACACACCACTGATGTGATGTATTTGCCTATTTATACAATGTGATCATTTGATTACCTGATTAAAGCTACACCATGAAATCTTATGAGGTAGAGTGACTAAACCTTGCTGCATTTAATTAATGTTATATTAAGATTGAAGTGATTAATTAAAAATGAATAAAATGTTGGTTCCTTACTTCCTTAGCAATTTTTCCTTCCCACTTACACATATCTTCATTTAAACATGTATGAAGCCTTACTGAAAATATCTAAAATCTTAACATGGTTTAATGACCTTTAAGGGTAACATGAAGGCTCTGGTGAAATTCTGTAGCCCTGCAAAATCAGTCACAGGAAAGAGAAATTTAAATCTCAGAAATTGCCCCTGGTTTGGGTTCCTCAGGACTACCACAGTGAAGTGAGAGATGTTCCCTGCACACACACATATTCCACTGAGAGGAACTTGTCACCAGGGAAAAACAACTCCCTTGAGAATTTTGTTTATTGAAAGTCATCAGGGACAAGGAATTCAGCACCATCTGAATCCCTCTGATACTCGTGGACACTGCAGGTGATGCTCAAACAAATCACTAAAACCCCAGGGATTCCCATTAGACAATCTAAATTCCCCCACCACCAAATTACTCTGTGTTTTCATACACAAAAGCACCACACCTGGAAATTCCAAGAGTAAACAGCTTTTTTAGGCTGTGCAGGAAGGTAGAACCGCATTTTCACAAGGAAAAAAAAAAAAACAAAAAACCTGCCTTTTAGATAAACCTGATGGCTTTAACATATCTGTTCTTTCAAAAAGCCTGCAGGTATTCTGCATGACAGAGAAGGCTTTTCCACCCAGAGGGGAAGAAGAAACTGAAAATGGTGACAAACACAATACTTTCAAAAGGTCAGGTCAAACCAAGATTAGCCAAGACCCAGTTCTGATATTGTATTCAAATTTCTACTGAACCAAGGAAAAGTCAGTTTACCTAAGAAACACAACCTGCTGAAAATAAAACTCCAGTTGTACCTTTCAAAATTGTGTGAAGCAAATTTTGCATTTCAATAGTGACTTCCTAAAAAAATGGGAAATTACAATACCAGTGGTTATAAATAATGCATGGAGAAATATCTGTGCTTGGAACAAAAAATTTAAATGTATTGCTGCATGTTATACTACTTTGCAAAATGGAGTTATTTTTATTTAGCTTACAGCTAGAAAAACATGAGACAAACTTAATCCTGTAATTCTTGTTCAAGGCTTTGGTTTCTGTTAAGAAATATTTGCATACCTTTAAATATTTGTCTTATTTTTTAAAAAAACATAACTATCAGTGTAAAGTCTGTAAAATAAATGGTACTTCATAGGACTAAATCACATTTTAGATGCAAAAGTTACATCAAACTGGTAGGAAATACAAAAGCAAGGTAGTAAAAAATTATAT